TTGGCCAAAAATACAGTCTGCTTTGCCTTTGTAAATATCATTCCAATGGACATGCAGTTATACAGGTCGAGAGCTGAAGTGTATTATAACCAAATCAAGACATCATCCACAAATGTTGTTATCATTTATGGTGACACAGACAGTACTCTTGCTGTGAGCTTTCAAACATGGAAATCCAGAGGTTTACAGAGAATATGGGTCATCACCCCACAGTGGGATGTGACTACAAGTAAAACAGACTTTATGCTTGACTCATCCCATATGACTCTAGCTTTTGCACACCATCATGGTGATATTTCTGGTTTTAAAAATTTTGTTCAGACTATGAACCCTCTCAAACATACAGATGAATATCTGGCAAGGCTGGAGTGGATGAACTTTAACTGTGAATTCTCCACATCCAACTGTACAACACTGAAGAACTATTCATCAGATGTCTCTATGGAGTGGCTAATGCTACAGACTTTTGACATGCCCTTTGGTGATGGCAGTTATAACATATACAATGCTATGTATGCTCTGGCCCATGCACTGCATGATATGGTCATGCCAGTGGACAATGGGAAAAGACACCAATCTGGCTGCTTGAAGGTAGTATTTCTTCTATTGGATGATATTTGGTGTCAGCAATGTCATATCTTTAGGAGTCTTTCAGATGCCCAAACTCAGTGGACTAGGAAATATTTCTCCCAAAATGAAAGGAGTTTGAGCATACTTTTCTGCTGAGGGAGTTAAATGAAAAGTTTGGTAGACATGTCTAGTGCAAAGCAAATGGAGCAGAAGACACATGCCTAAAGGACAATCAGTGATTTTCTTTCTGAACATCTGAATACCATCACCCCGGTTCTTTTTTTGTTTTGTTTTGTTTTTGTTTTTTGACTATGACAGTCTTCTGATTTTCTTTTTTTCTTTCTTTTTTTTTTTAAATTTATTTTATATAACCAAGTCCATTTAAATGAAAACAAACATTTATACACAATATTTGGGAATTTGGGTGTCGTTCTTTCCAAACTACTTCCTGCTGGTAAGGGGCGCTGTCATGGGGGATTCTAAGAAGATGCAGATATCCTGGCTGTAGTCTGTAGGGCTGTTTTGTCCAGCTGTTTTTAATGTAGGATCACCTGGGACTCTGTTTCAGGTGGTCTGGCTTGATCAAACCACATTAGACTGGAAGGAATCTACATCTTTTCATTTTCTGCCATCACCCCAGTTCTAATACTGCAAACAATATCATTACTTTCTCATGAATACTCTGTGTCATTGATAAGTTCTTTGTATGTTCATCATCAAGTATGTTGTAATAAGTATAGGAGATGATAGTCATTAGTGTTCTCAACTGATTCTTCCACATCTCTCAGCTCTGTGGACCACAGTTGGCATACTGTTAGTAATTTCACAGGCAGTAGTGCTGTGATTCAGTCCACTACATACAAGTGCATTCATGAGCATGACTGTAGGTTTCTCAATCTCTATATGAACGTTTGTTCTTTTCTATGTATCTCTCTTTGTATATGTCTTCATATGCATATGTGTGTGTGTGTGTATGTGTGTGTGTGTGTGTGTGTGTGTGTGTGTATAAGTTTCTCTATTCCTTTCTGTGGAATTGATAATGAATTTGTCAGTGTGTTTTTGTATGCGTGTTTTTTTTTTTCTGTTTGCATCTTCCTGTGTCTATTAGGCTTTTTTTATGTCTGCAGGAGCCAATCTGCGTATTTATATGTTTCCATTAATGTGCTTACACATACGTATATCTGTTTTGTTGAGTCTGTTTATATATGTTTGTGTGCGTGTGTCTGTCTGTCTTTTGATATAGATCAAAATTTTCTCTTTATCAATGCCTCACTCAATTGGTGTTTGTGCCTATGTGCTTTTCCCTGTATATATTTGTATATGTGTACCTTGTTGTGTATGTGTTTTCTGTGTTTCTGTATGTATGCTTGTACAAATATGTCTGTCTGTGTTGCCTGTATATATATAGGAATTACATGGCATGTGTGTGTATGTGTGTCAAATAAATTTAGAGCTGTGTTTTGTGTGTATTGCTGGATGTATGTGAGATACTCTCTCTTTCTCTCTTTTACATGTGTGTGGTTTTTTTTTTGTGTCTGTGTCTTTATGTGGGTAGTTACCTATGTAAGTTGTCTGTAAGTATGGCTTGGCAATTAAGAGTTTACTCTGAGAGAACTTAAATTCTAGGAACATAAGGAAAATCTCATTTATCCATTTAATTTCACTGAGATTTATCCACTGGGCACCTTCAAAATTGCTGCCTTTAAGATAGAATCAGTAGTTTTCTTATTTATTTATTTATTTATTTATTTATTTTATATAACCAAGTCTATTTAAATGAAAACAAACATTTATAGACAATATTCGTGAATTTGGGCATCTTTCTTTCCAAACTACTTCCTGCTAGTAAGGGGCGCTGTCATGGGGGATTCTAAGAAGATTCAGAAATCCTGGCTGTAGTCTGCAAGGCTGCTTTGTCCAGCTGTTTTCTTCTAGGTGTATGTTGGAGCATTATCTGTCTTTATTTGTGCATGTATACCCATGATGGCCATGAGTTCTAGCAAACGTATAATTATTGAATCAGCCTTTCCCAAATTCAAAGGAGTTTGGTCATTGAAAACATGAATGGGTTTTGAAAACATGAATGATGTGGTGTACATATTTTAGTTTTCCATATTCTATGAAACTGAACAATCCATCTCTCTGATTTTATTCTTTGAGTACACTTTGGATTACATTTTGTGGATTTTGATTTTATAAAGAAAAAGTAGTACTCAGAAAAATAGGAATCAGTGTACAACAAGAGGAAATTAAGAAAAGATTTCATCAAAAATTTTGTGATTTAATTTTCATATATACAAAGATTCCTTATTGCTATTTACAATGCATTCTTAGAATTTTGAAAATTGTGTTTTATGAATCACCACACTTAAATATATACACAGTGATTTTTAACTAAACCTATACATTGGTTTAGTTAAATAATCAGTTAAACAAGTTTTAGAAAAGTTTAAATAAATAGTTTCTACATCAAAATGATTGATACCAATATTGAATTTAAACAAATAAGATTACTGGATATTTCTCTTAGGCATATTGGAGTTCATATGAAAGTCTCAGAAAAATTACACAAAATGGTAAGAATTACATTATATCATTAGCAGGAATTGGTGGGGGAGTAGGAGGTCATCATGTTGACAAATAGATTGTCTCTGCTAATTCAGATTGTTCACAGACACTAGATATAATAGTGTGTGCGTGTGTACGCACATGTGCAAGCATATATACCTATATTTTTACATAAAGAGTTGTAGACCTGAAGGAATCGGGGATGGGGCACAATGTGAATTCATTATGAAGATAAAATCACATCTGTCCCATAAATTGAACAAGTGCACAAGTATCATAAAGTGAGAATGAAGTTATGTGAACTGAGGAAAGGAATCAGAAATAAGATGACCAACTGATGTAGTCAACAAAGGATTGAATACCAACAAAGGGCATGCTATGTTTATGTGAAGTATCATAATAAAATAATTTAGGCTGCACACTAATTAAAAATTGTTGTGCGCAAAACTGGATATTGTGCAGAATATAGCCCACTGAAAATTTTATTTGCACTATGAAAGCTGAATTGGCTGTCTTCCAATGAAAGAATTTTCCTGTCACATTAGTCTATATTTACCTCTTAGGGCCCCAGGATGGCTCGTCACAAAACCAGAGGTCATGCACCTTTTAAATGTTTAATTTTAAATGTATAATAAGATCTAGAAGAGGACAGTAGTCCCGTTTGCCTCATCCCAATAAATAAATGAGACGATCACTATCCACAGGAAAAACTTGCTCTACATTGGTTCTGTTTTCTCTGCAGTCCATATCCACTGAGAGAGACTCATCAGCCCATTTGGCATTGCAGGTTTTAGAATGCAAACAAAAACAGATGATTAAGAAATTATTATATGAAGAACTTACACATTAAACAGAGGATCACTTCCCAGTTTCTATTTATTTTTAAGATACTCAAGACAAAACTTCTTTTTAGCCACTTCTGGACTTTAAAATGAGCAAAAACAACACAGGAAATCAAAGATAGAGCCAAAGAAATCAGTCAACACAAGGTATTGATTTGTGAGAACTGAGGAACAGTGAGGAAGATCATGTTCAAGAAATGAAATATTCAGCTTATCATTAATAACGGTTGTTTTGGGGAAGGAGTGATAGGTTTTAAATGGTGTCTGAAATAAGACACAAAGGTCAGATTTTCTCTCTGGATCATGTTGAATATTTAATAATAAACATTTATCATGAAAAGGAACTGTAGATTTATGATGAGCTGGAACAGCAAGATTCTGGATATTTAGGGATTTGGCCTGATACTTATTTTTCAAAACAATGGTAGCATAGGCTTGGTTAGATATACTGTACCTGTCACTGGAGTAGGATAGTCCACACTGTCCATGCCTTATGGAACTAAATTACTCTAAATATGAAGCTGCTTTTCCCTGACTTGGACTGTGTGATGCAGTTACCAGGGTGTAACCATGAATTTTGATTCTGTGAGTTCTCCTGAACGTATAATTCATGCCTCACTGTGAATCACCTAACCAAATGCACTGACATCATTTCTAAAAGTGTTAACATAACCAGATTGATGAGGCAGTCATGGAGCCAAATATTCCCAAAACGACATCCTCTCAGAGGCTTTGATTTCCACAAAGGCGAGTGATGTCATGAAACTAGTTAACTATTGCCATATGTATTTATCAACCAAATCTCATCACATAGATTGTGAGCATCATATGCAGAGCCCCAGGAAACAGAGTGTTCGGTGTTTTCTCAATGGACAGGGAAACAACTGCAGAAAAACTCACGAATGCACAAGTAGGCTCTCCTTTTGCCACAGAAATAAAAGCAAGTGTGGATGCATGGGTGCCCAATTGATGTGCTGATTTTCAGGGCATGTCACAATCCACACTGCCCATGTTTTAAAAATGTTCACCTTTGTTTTTCTATATTTGCTCCTGAACATTCCACTTCTGGTGGCCAGTTTCCTTCATCCTAGGTGCTCTTGGAAAATGAAGCAGGATGAATACAAGGGTGGGGACTTAGTGACAGATTGTGTCTTCGCCCTTGGTGCAGTGCAGTGGCCAGTGAACACAGAGTATTTCAACCATGTGTTGAATATGCAGTAAGTACCTTTGTATTCTGTCTGTAAATGTTATAAGGAGTATTTCATGAGGGGGCAGGGGAATGAGAATCAGAGCAATACCTTGAATCTTCTGCCTGTTTGATCAGACTTATATACCAAAAAACAACCCCAAATTCTTTTAAAGTCAAAACGTTTTAAGCAATATATGATTCAAAAACATCACTATTAATATGGATAGTATGTCAAATTCAACCATAATTTTGTTAACAGAAATTATTAGATAAAATTTTAACATAATTCCATTTTTATTTTTTAAGAACTTACTTTTCATTTTACATACCAACCCCAGTTTCTCTCCCTCCCCTTCTCCTGCCCACTGGCTACCATCCTTCATTCCTGCAAATTATTTTAGAGACTTGAAGTTATTTTTCTACTTTTAATTTGTCCAGGGTTTTCTCCCAGTTACCCTCCAAATTTCAGAGCCAGAAGCTGACTTTATACCTTGTTTTATCACATACAGTACACCTCTTCACAGTTTTCATAGCACTGAAGTAAGTGATGTCTTATCAAAAGAATCCCCATTCTATTTTAAAGAATGTCATCCAAAGTTGGTACAAGTAAATAGCCATAGAGTCAGCAGATAGACAATCTGTCAATGTGTACATCCTAGTGTATTGCTAGGGCAACTAATATTTCTGACACACCTAGCTGAGGAGATTTTTCTCAAAGATATTCATTTACTCTCTCTGATGCTCTGCATGTGGTCACCTTATGCCTTCTTAAGCTGCATGGAGCATGGAAATAGGAGTGTCCACTGCGAACTTCATATGTCTTCCTGTTTCTTCATGTCACATGTATGTACAACAACTGGCCTTTAATTTCAAAATTCAGTTATTCACTCTTTAGAGCAAAGAAGGAAATGTATGGACTGTAAATGATGTGTTTGCATTCTTTGAAAAGTGAGGTTATCGCTAATAGTGGTGCCTGCTTACTTCCCTTATCACTAGCCCGAGTGTCAGATATATGCTCAACTTTGCCATTATTTAAGAAGCATATATCTGCTATTTGTGTATAAGTTGTTTATTCTCTGACAACACTTATATCACACTTATCTTGCATGTCTTCTTTCTAGTTAAAGCTGTGTATTGTACCTATGTGGAAACTATACACAGTTTTGATTTTTTGAAATGGAGATAGTTGTTTCTTCTTTCTAGTTAAAGCTGTGTATTGTACCTATGTGGAAACTATACACAGTTTTGATTTTTTTGAAATGGAGATAGTTGTTTTCAAACAGAGCGCTACTACTCTATCAGCTCAAGCAGTTGAAGTTTCTTAATGTTTGGTGTGCAAAAGTTAGTGTTTGAGTTTCACAATTTCTAGTCTCAAATTCCTGTTGTATGCTACTGAAATTTCAATGATACTTTTTTCTGTATGATAATAAAGCATTGTCTAAAATGATTTTTATTTTAAATAATGTATATATAAATAGTGTTTTAAATAAAGACACTGCAGAGGAACAAATTCTAAGCCAGTAGCATTATACCTAACTTTGAATTAATCATTCAGAATGAAGGAGTATGTTTGATATTGATTGGTCATATATATATATATATGAATGAAACAGGAGTTATTATTCTTTCCATAGACATAAACTCAAATGGCCACTTACTTGTTACTCATTTTATTATAGAAAAAGATCATAAATATTTTCCATTCATTTTATATTTTGTATTCTTCTATTTTACAAAAATGTAATACCATCACATACAAATCTCACTGCAATTTTTAGATGTTCCTAGTTCTCAGTAGAATATTAGTACTGTGTTATTGTACCTGGAAATAATGATGAAAGATAGTTTCAAGAAGAAAAGTAATTTTGGTCAGAAAAACTGAGTGTGAGTACATCTCACATGCCTGTATAAATGTAAAGTAAGTGAACAATACTGGTGTAAGGGATGGTGCATGCCTTTACTATCTGTACTCAGGACCTGGAGTGTATCCCTGTGCATTTTAGGCAAGTCTAGTCTAAAGCAAAGTACCACTCAAAGCCATGGAATCCATTGATGGTTTACGGAGCATTAATAAATTAGCATTATTCCTCTCAGTACACACAGATGAATCAGAAATACGTCTTTTTCAAATACATCGTTGGTATTTTGATTTATTTAAAAATAAATCTTTAAAAAATTATTCCTGGAATAGGTAAGCCAGAAAGAAAACCAAGATGAATATTGATATGATGGGGTATGTTAACTATATTGCCTACTGATTGTAATGACTTATAAGTAGAAGATCAACTGCTGCCCAGGATATAGTGATCTTATGAAATATTTCACTTCCTTATCCAATTCAGTTAATTTCATAAGAAAATGCCACTAACTCAGTGGTTCATATTGTATTTGTCATATTGCTCAAATATTTGTTTGGTCAAAACCTGTACCTTTATTTTTACCTCTTGAGAAAGCACTCAAAAAACAAAAACAACAATAGCAACAACAACAAAAAACCAGGGATGGGCAGCACTTTCTGTGGAAGATGCTGATGGCACATCTCTTTTATAGGAGATTCACCCTCATGAACTTTTGCAACTTCCAGCAGCTTCTTAAGTTGTCCCAACCTCACAACTCAGGACATTTGTTTCAGTATTTGGGGGTGGTTGGGGATAATGTCCAGTACAGAATAGTCCTTGTTTTGATTACAAATGATCATTTGTACATCTCTATCCTTAGTAAGCAGTGTGCCTTTTTACAGAACACCAACTGAAAACAATCAACTTGCACTGGCCTTAGCTTTTTCTGTGGATGAAGTCAACAAGAACCCTGATATTTTACCAAATATATCGTTAGCATTTAAGTTCCCAGAAGGAGGTTGTAAGAATGTGTCAAAGTTGTACAGTCTCACTCACTTATCGGAAGAAGACCATGATAACGTCCCTAATTATATCTGTGATGAGACGACCATGTGTATATTGGTGCTTACAGGACAAAACTGGGCAATATCTATGATGGCTGGAACTTTCCTGGAACTCTACAAATCTCAGCAGGTGAGTTGTGTGGTGGGTTTTAAGGAAGTCTTGTCTCTGTTGTTGCCATTCAAAGATGCTAAGAACAATATGAAGAAAAGACTGGTGTCTGACTTACTTCAGACTGCTTAGTTCAGGGCTACTATTCTGAGGCTTGATGAGACTTCCTTTTCTTCTCTGAAAGGAAAAGTACAGGTATGGGTTTTTTAGATCGCTTTGCTGAAAAATGTGTTTACAAGTTCTTAGGAGTACTTGAAACCTCATGCTGCTGCCTGTGTCCTAGGTACTTCAGCTTACATATGGACCTTTCCATCCCATTCTGAATGATCATCAACAATTTCCCTATCTGTACCAGATGGCACCCAGGGACATGTATCTAGCCCTGTCCATGGTCTCTTTGATACTTCACTTCAACTGGAACTGGGTTGGGCTGGCCATCTCAGATGATGATCGTGGTACACAATTTCTCTCAAATTTGAGAAGAGAGATGGAAAAACATATAGTGTGCCTTGCCTTTGTGAACATCATTCCACTCAGCACACATTTATACATGTCAAGAGCTGAAGTGTATTACAACAAAATCATGACATCATCCACAAATGTTGTTATCATTTATGGTGATACAGACAGTAGTCTACTTGTGAGCTTTAGAATGTGGAAATCTCTAGGTATACAGAGAATATGGGTCACCACCTCACAATGGGATGTGTCTACAAGAAAGGGAGACTTCACACTTGACTTATTCCATGGAATTCTAGCCTTTGCACAACATCATGCTGATATTTCTGGGTTTAAAAATTTTGTTCAGACATTGAACCCTCTCAAATACACAGATAAATACCTTGCAAGTCTGGAGTGGATGAACTTTAACTGTGAAGTCTCAGCTTCTAAGTGTAAGACACTGAAGACCTGCTCATCCAATACCTCATTAGAATGGCTATTGGAAGGGACTTTTGACATGGCCTTTAGTGATGGCAGTTATGACATATATAATGCTGTGTATGCTGTGGCCCATGCTGCCCATGAGATGCTTCTCCAGCAAGTATATAATCTAACAATGGACAATAGGAAAAGACCCAATTCTAATTGCTTGAAAGTAATGGCTCATCTATTGGATGATATTTTCTCTCATTGATGTTATAGTCTTTAAGAGTCACTCAGATAGATGAATTGGGTAGATTATGAAATAGTCCCCAAGAAGAAAATATGTCTCATTATTTTCTGTTTTGTAGAAGTAAATCTAGAGGTTGGAATAAAGCTGGAGTACAAAGGCAGTGTATTAGAAGATGCAATTTATCAAGGAAAATAAGTGATTTTCTTACAAAGCACCTGAAAATCATCACCCAGTTCTAATGTTGGGAACGTATCAGTCCTTCCTTATTAATATTCTCCATGTTGAGAAGATGAACCCTGATTTATTGATTCTGAAATATTTGTAAATCAGTGTACAGAATGGTTGTCACAAAAGTTCTCAACTGACTCTGCTTCAGATGTAGGCTTTGGGAACCTCCCTTCTAACTCTGAAAGAATAATTACACAAGAAATTGTGCTGTCTTTTAGTTCAGCACATACATGTGTATTCATGTAAATGGATGTTGTTCATTGTGTATGGATGTATATATGTTTGTTTGGTTCTGTGTATCTGTGTGTATATCGGAGCTGCTGTGTGTATATATATTTCTGTCTATCTGCATATCTCTTCCCAGAAGTGAGTATACATTTTTCTTGTGTCTATGTCTTTCTGTATGGGTGTTTGTTTCTGTCTTTATGTACATATTTGGCAGTGCATGTCTGCCTATTCCTTTGTATGTTTCAGTGTATGTGTTTGCACATATGTATATTTATGTTGCTGTGTATGTGTGTACACGTTTCTATATGTCTGCCTGTCTGCCTGTCTTTTGAAGTGGGTGTAAATTTGATTGTATCAATGTTTCTCTGTGTGGTTGTTTATATATATGTGTATTTTTCTATGAGTTTGCCTATGTGTGAGGCCTTGTGTATGTGTTTTGCTTGTTTCTCTTTCTGTATGTCTGTTTCAGTGTGTATGTTTCTCCATCTGTATGTGCTTATATGTTCATATGTGTGTCTTAGCATGTGTGTGTATGTAAATAAGTATAAAGCTGTGTTATGTATGTATCTCTGTATAGATTTGAGTCCCTCTGTGTAGTAGTAGTAGTAGCAGTAGTAGTAGTAGTAGTAGTGTGTGTGTGTGTGTGTGTGTGTGTGTGTGTGTGTGTGTTTGTGTGTTTCTATGTCTGTTTTCTGCACATATGTCTATTTTTATGTGTGGTACTTATCTGAGAAATCTAAAAGTCTAGGAACATTATCATAATTTTATTTATCTGCTTGCAATCATTGAGATTTCTCTCCTCAGCACCTTCTAAAAGTTTCCTTTAAGTTCAGATTGGTATGTTTTCTGATTTCAAGAATGCCATATACACTATAGAATTCTGCCTGTCCTTCAGATGTGCTCCTTCTTGAGGAATACCCACTTCGCTAATTCTGTTGTGAACAGTGTGAATATGGGTCTCAGTTAGAAGGCCTGGGCAGTCTAAGGGACCTCTAACAGTGGAAGCAGGATGTATCCCTGGTGCACAAAAGGACTTTGGGAGCACATTCTCCATGGAGGCATACTCCCTAAGCCTAGAGGCAGGAGGAAGGGCCTAGACCCTACTCTAAATGACTTGACAGGTTTGATGATCCCTCCTGGAAGGCATCACCCTCTCTTCAGAGTGGGGGGGATGGGATGAGATGGGGGTCAGGGGGCATAGGAGGGAGGTAGAGGCAACTGGGATTGATGTGTAAAATAAGAATATATATATATATATATATACACACACACATATCTAAATCTATATCTATATCATGAAATCAGAATACATTTTCTGACTTAAAGCAAGGGCACACACACTATAGACTGCTACCTGTCTTTTCAGCTGCACTCCTTTATGAGGAAGACACAATTCACTAATCCTGTTGGGGACAGAGTGAATATGAACCAGAAGGACAAACTTCAGGAAGAGTATGACATTTTCCAGATTTGGGATTTCCCACAGGGTCTTGGATTTAAGGTGAAGATAGGAAAGTTCAGTCCGTATTTTCCACATGGTCAACAGCTCCACTTATATGAAGACATGATAGAGTGGACCACAGGAAATGGACAGGTGGGTCTGACCAAATTGTGCTGATTTCCATTACATAGCAGTGACACTGTCAATTGGCTCCATTTTGCTTTCTTGTAAATTAGTAAAGTGAAATAGTTTCCCACACATTAGGAAACATTTTCTACCCTCCTATATAGTTTTTCTTTTCACTTTTTGATGTAACATTTTATTAATTATCGAGAATTTCAGATATGCATAAAGTGAATTTTTATCATGCCAGTACATATTTCTGGTTTTTAATGTAAATATAAAACAGGTTGTTACAAACGTTTAATATTATTTCCAGTAAAATAAATGATATTCACTTGGTGCCATTCTGATTACAACACAGCAATTTTCCTGTTTTCTGCGGAACCTCTGACACAGATACTGAAAGACTGAAGCCCATTTTAAGGGAAGAGGAAAGAAAATGTATGGAAAGCATTGATTTACATTCTATGATTTTCTAAAGTATTTTTAACAACTGGTTTTATTTTTTTTTATTTTATATATTTATTTTATATAACCAAGTCCATTTAAATGAAAACAAACATTTATAGACAATATTTTGGAATTTGGGTGTTGTTCTTTCCAAACTACTTCCTGCTGGTAAGGGGCGCTGTCATGGGGGATTCTAAGAAGATGCAGATATCCTGGCTGTAGTCTGTAGGGCTGTTTTGTCCAGCTGTTTTGAATGTAGGATCACCTGGTACCTGTTTCAGGCGGTCTGGCTTGCTCAAACCACATTAGTCTGGAAGGAATCCACATCTTTTCATTTTCTGTGGAAACAAAAACAGAAATCCTTTTCCCCAGTAACTTGTCCTTCAACTTAAATTTTGGAGTCAAAGCATTTTTTTAAAATTTATTATTTTACATGTCGATCCCAGTTCCCTCTCCCTCCCTCCCTCTTTCCCTCTTTTCCTCCTTCCCTCCCTTTTGCCCTCTCTGCCCTCTCACATGCACCCTAACCACCCTCCCCTCCCATCCCCCCACCCTAATTCCATATGTAGGGGAATGCCATCCAGTTGGGGTCATGTAGATCTGACAGGTCATGTGAAGTAGGGACTAGGGTTTCTCTCCTGTCTCTAGATTAAGGCAGTTATCCCTCCATGGGGGATGTGTTCGCAAGGACCTTTTGTGCACCAGGGATACATCCTGGCTCCATTGTCTGAGGTCCCTTAGACTGCTCAGTCCTTCTGGCTGAGATCCATATTCAGGGGGGCCTGAGTCAGTCCCATGCTGGCTTCCCAGCTATCAGTCTGGTGGCCCGTTAGCTCCTCCTTGTTCAGGTAAGCTGTCTCTATGTGTTTCTGCTGCCTGGCCTTGTCTTCTCCATCTGCATCTGAGTTCTACTTCAACTCAGTGTTTATGTGTGGGTGTTTGCTCCTGTTTCCAACAGACATTAGTTGAGGGCTCAATGGATAAGTTAATTGTTGATCTCACTCTCCGGGAAGGGCATTTATGGTAGCCTTTCCACGGAAGCTCAAATTTTAACAACTGGTTTTAAATTGCAAATATATTTAATGATACATTTAGATAACTAACACATTTAGATATACTATATATTATAATCTTTCTTTTAATTTCTTTTTTTCCTTACTTGAATATGTGTGATTTGTCTGCATGTATGTCTCTTTAACACTGGCATGTAGGTTGCATATGGATGATGGAAGAGTTATTTGAATCCCTGGAAACTGAAGACAGCTTAGTGATACATAGTGGGTGCTAGAATTTAAATTTGACTCGTGTTCATGGGTAGCAATTGTTATTGACAGTTGAGCCATTTTTCTAGCTTGGAAGATTATCCTGTGAAAGAAATTGTTCACTAGAGGAACATTTCTTGGTCCCATTAATTATTTCATTCTTCACTCAAACAAACGATGTGTGTCTATATTCTGTTTTCTGTGTGTGGACATATAGATAGTAAGACAATTGAGTATTTTAAATTTAAAAAAATGATATATTACACTATGGTTCTTCAGTGTAAATTCAAACTGCCAGATCTCAAAGTGGCTTGAATTTTAAAGGTGTTTGTTAACTTCAGGAAAGTCTTCAATATTGGGCTGAAGTTTTATCTCAAAGTAGTCAATATAATATGAAACCTACAAATAATATTCCTTCTCAGGGATATGAGAAAATTCCTTTTCAGGGAAAGGGACATATGAGCTGAAGATATAAGTACTGAGCCACTTATTCATTCACAGAGCAGAAATAAACTTTCATGTATAATCTAACCAAACCTCACTTTAACTTTATACCGAAACATCCAAAGGTGTAGTACAGAAGAGTAATAACAGTGGAGCCAGTGCTCTGCTCCAATACATACAAATGTCAATGCACAAACAAAAGAACAAAAATATGAATATATCAAAGCAACACAACTCCAAACATTAAAGTTATAGGCTTAAATGAGAGTATGTTTAGTGACGTACTAAACAAAGAATTCAAAGAGGATCTTGAAAATAAAACAGGACACAAATCACATTCTGCAGAATGAAATGAGATCACAAAAACTTGCATACAATAAGTTACTGACACAGAATGTGACAAACATACTCCAAAAGGTACAAAATAATGAAAAAAATTGGACTAAAATGTGTAAAGGAAACAAAAGAAATCCAGTGAAAATTCTTACTAAGAGAATGTTCAAGTTGAAGACAGGATCGCAAGACTTGAAAACAAGAAAGAAAAGTTAGAAAACTGAAAGTATGACAATAATAAAAATAAGGAAAAATGGCCTGGCCATGATGCCTAATTGCTGTAATCCCTGCACTCAGGAGACAGAGGCAGGTGGATCTCTGTGAGTTTGAGGTCAGCCTAGTCTAAAGAGTAAGTTCCAGGACAGGCTTTAGAAATACACAGAGAAACTCTATTTTTTAAAAAAGGGAAAAATTAAAGATTTACAACACCAAGAGGATAGAATTAAGATTAAACTGTATAAGCTACAGACAGAAGTACTCGTCGCAGTAGTCATCAACAATATATCAAATAAAACAAAACAGTATTTTCCAAAATTATGGGATACATGGCCATCTAGAGACAGATGACAATTAAATACCGAACAGATAATATCAGAAAAAAATCTTCCCTGACACATTTTACTTAAATTTTAATGTTATAGGACAAAGAGAGGAAATTGGAGGCTGCAGAAGACAAGCAATTCCATAGAATGGCCTCTTCTGGATAATAGCAGATTCGTTTATGAACTATCTTAAAATGGGAGTGTATTGATGTAATTCAAATAGTTAGAGTCATAATTCCCAACACCAGTTATTACAACCAACAAAGTTATTCTTTATAAATGAAGGACACTGAGGTGGCTCTTTTTGGGTATAAAGTTGACTACATCTGCAATTTAGTAAAAGCAAAAGATGAAGGGCACAATTATAAGGGACTTTTGCTTAATTTGAAGTATGAAGATCTACTCATGACCCAGATCTTTGTGATAGGAAGACCTTGGTGGCATATACCTTTAATACCTTGACTCAGTAACAAGGGAAGGTAGATCTCTGAGTTCAAAGCCATGATGTTCCATAGAGTGAGTTCCAGGAGAGCCAGGGCTACAAAGAGAATCATTGCTCTAAAAACAAAACAAAAAAGGAAGAAAAAGTGACAGAGATGGGGAAGACATGCCTTTGATTGAAACCATTCGAGCTAAGAAAAGACATATCCTTCTTGTGAACCTTAAATTGGGAAGACACAACTTTAATTTGGATGATTTGATCTTGGAAAACTAATGTCTAAATTGGGAAACACCCTCTGCTGGAAGCCCATATAATAACAGAAAAAAAAAAAGCGTTTTTTCTTTGCTTTCTGTCACCTTTCTAAAAAGTACAGTTCTGCACTGGCATTAGAAGCTGCTTTTTGGGGATTCCAGTGCATACTGAAGATCATCTGAGATATTCAGCCTCATGGACTGAGAATTATCTGGGTTCTTGGAGTTTTCATTCAAAGCTAGCAATTGTTGAATTAGTGAGACCACAGCCTGCAAGATAGTCTAATAAATTGTGTGTATACAGAGAGAAACAGACAGTGAGAGAGACAGAGACAGATTCATTCTGTAAAAGATGCTACTAGAGAGAAGAACCCTAATAAACAGACATAACAATTTCAAAGTTTAACATAAAGTAAACGAATTTGTAACTACTCTAATAATATTAAGACACTAGAAAACTCCCTTATACTGAAAAGTAAGATAAATACTAGTGGTCAAGAAATACAAAGACAGACACAGAACACCAGAAAGAAATAAAAACTGTTGGAAAAGAATCACATATTGCAATTACAAAAAAATGGACAATAATAAAGCAATAGTACTCAATACTAATTCAACATGAATCTTCACAAGTTCTATTCAAAATACATAAACAGCTAGACAGTTGGTAAAAGCAAACATTAATTTTTTGCTTCCAAATACAATCTTCACTTGTAAACATGAAGAGATCCCTTCTGTAAGTATGGGGGGGAAGAACTGTAAAGAAATGAAACATGATAAAGAAAATTAAAGACTAAACACATTGATGGATGTGGATGAAAAAATTCTCAGCTAAACACTGGCTAATATAACTCAACAACACAACAAGAAGACTTAACACTGTGCCAAAGATGACTACATTCCAAGGATACAAGGATGATTCAACATATACAGAACAGTTAAGTAATAGTGACAGATAAAGAAGCTCATGGACAGAATTATATGGATATCCAACTACATGCCCAAAGGGCTCCTAAAGAAGGTTTAGTGTCCATTAAGAGTTAAAATGTAAACAAACAGAAATCTAACACAATAGAAGAAATACATCTTGACTTAATAAAGTTTTCTTTTTATTAATTAATAAAACTTTTCCAGCCCTATCACATTAAAAAGGTTTTTCTATGGCAAGTCTATTGACAATACTGTATTACATAATGACAAACTCAAAGAAAATTAAAATTGTAAGTGAGGTCAGGTGTGTATGGTGGTGCACACCTTTACTCCAAACTATTGGTAGGAAGAGGCAGACAAATCTGTTTATGGCCATGGTGGCCTAAATAGTTAGTGAAAGCCAGCTAGGATTGCTTGTAGAGACTCTTCCCTAAAGGAATTAAGCAGAAATTGGACAAGGATATACATTTTTCCACTCTTCTTGAAAATTGTCTTTACTGTTTTAAAAAGCACAAATAGAAATAGTAAACATGAAATACCTTGAGAAGAAATGTGCCCACTGACAGCATGCACCTTTAATCCCAGCATTCAGGAGGCACAGAGACAGACCTCTGTAGAGTCCAAGAAAGCCTTGTCTATATAGGGAGTTGAGGTAAACAAATACTACTTTGTGAGACCCTGTTCCAAGTAAGTCACAAAAAAAGAGAATATTTGTCCTTAAGCATATTGTGGAGAACATGAAAAATTACATGCATAGAAGACACTGGCTTTGACACAGAACTCAATCCTGAACAAAGGATGCAAAATGAGCATACAACAATCAGGAACATTCTGAAGTAGCATATAGATCCCCCCCTCTCTCTCTCACACACACACCCCAAAGCTTTCTTTATTTTAAGGTGTAAGAAATCCTCTTTTAGGCAATATAACTTTTATTCAGGTTCCCCCAGTATTTAAATAGCAGTCTTTGCAGAGCACTTTGACTCAGCAAACACTCCACCATCCAGTTCAATACACGTAAACTCAGCACTTCCTCATAACAAATGCATGAAGTTCTCCCAATATATTTGTTTTCCTATTAACACTCTGTCATGGTTTGCAGTGCTATTTTATTGGAGTTAATGTTTGCTATCTGAGATTTAGGGAAATATTTCCCATTTCACATGTTCATTAGTCCTAGCTTACTATGTTGTTGCTGTAATTAAATATTGACCATATGCAAATTGAGGAGGAGGGCTAATTTGGCTCATGGGTTACAGTCAAGGGAAGACAAGGCAGGAATATAGAGACAGAACTGAAGCTTAGGCCCTTGAGGAACACTGGCTTGTTCTGCTGGATTTCTCAGATAGCCCTGCCTAGGGATATCACAGCCCAGGGTGGGCTTGGCACGCCTATATCTAATACCAAAAACTAAAAGGTCATAGATGACAGATATAACATTAATAGTATAATTATTTTTAATTTATGATTATGTTGTTAATGTCATATCTGTCATCATATCTTTTAGTAAATATAATTATAAGAGTTATAGATATAGCACTAATATAATATTACAGACATGACAATAGCCTAGTAGAATGGAGAGATTTTTTTTAGTTATGTTTTCCTCTAATTTTAATGTATTTTGTGACAAGTTTACAAAAATTAAGGAGAAAACACATTCGAAATTTCTGTAGTGTTTGTTCAACAAACAACCAATTGTTCTTCTCATATCTCTAGAATCAGCTGTTTCCCTGCATTCATATGTTTTGGCATTATATAAAACACCATGTGCAATGTGGTCACTCCTTTTGTATATACAAAATAAGCTAATTGATTTTTCAACATGCTAATACAATTTAGTTGCAAGGAGTGGGTATAATTCAGGGTTTCATCATGTGTCTTACTTTCCTCAGATGCCGTCCTCTGTGTGCAGTGCTGATTGTGGTTCTGGATCCAGAAAATTCCGGCAGGAGGGAATGGCAGCCTGCTGTTTTGATTGCAGTCCCTGCCCAGAAAATGAAATTTCTAATGAGACAAGTCAGTGTTTTTCCTGAGAAAAATCCTTCTCATTGATCATTCTCTTCCACTCACACTGGGATAATGAACAGCCACTGCCTAAATAAAATATATTACTTTCTTAAATTAGTTTTTATAGGAACATTATCATTAACAATGTCCCTTTAAATAACTCCTTATACCATTACATACATGTTTGACTCATTAAAATTCATTGCAGGTGGCATTTTCTCAGAGAAACCGTTTTGATTATCAAACTGCAGTGTGAGGGAATACTACTTAAGGTATTTTGTATTAATTAATCTTCTCTAAAACTGCATGTAGATAAGATTCCAGTCATAAATCTTCAATAATATTTATTTATTCTATTTGCATATGTGAATTAGTTCCTACAAAAATTTTAGGTACCACATATGTGCAGGAATCAATGCATAACTAAATAGGGCATCAGATCCACTGAATCCTGCTATATGGGTGGTAGGAACAAAATGCAATTCATTTGTAGGATAATAAAGTCCAGAAATAATTCCTTGTAAAATTGTCAGAAACTCTTAAGTATGACATGGAAGACTCCTAGCAATATCAAGGCAATCTATCTCAAAGGATCACTGTGATTTAATTTCTAGGGAAATGTTGACACATGACATAGAAAATATTAGGAGTCTTATAATCAGTATTTTTATATACAGCACACAGTTAATAATGAAAGCAACTTTTGAATGTTTCCAAACATTTCTAATCTTTTTGCCCATATGTGTGTACCTACAAAAGTTTATATATACCATGTATGTGCATAGGTGCAATGGATATGATTTACTATATAATGTGGTTGCTGGTGATCAAATCAAGTCCTCTTTGTGATTAATTAAGACAGAAAATTATTACTTGTTCAGTTTTCAGGAACTGCCAAGAAGACACAGAAGATGACAAACAATATCCAGAGAACTTTTATTAGAGTTTCAGTTTATTAGGAAGTTTAGGAAAGTGGGGATAAGTATTGACACATAATATGGAAAATATATTAAATATTTTTATACACATCACTTTGTAATAATGTCACAAAATTAGCCACAATTATTCAAACAATATTATCCAATACACAGCCCTATTAATCAAGTGATTATCTACTTAGGATTGACATAACACAAATGGTAGGGTAATGGTGTTTCACTACTTCTGCCTGTTATGCTATATAATGAAATTAAAGTCCTTAGTGATATTTATGTCCAGTGACATGCATGAGCTGTGAAATCACTTGCCACTAACATTGATGACCTTAGCTTACTCTCAGGACACATGTAGTAGTAGGAACTCCATGCATCTCACCAAAATATATTCCAAAGTAATTAAATCAACTATAGTTAACTGTTTTATATGTAAAATGCATACAAATAATGATTATTTATTAAAAATTAGCAAAATATCTTTATTATTACTTTCATTACGTATATGTGTGAGGTTAGTGGTTATGGGCACATATGGGACATTGCTGAAAAGACCCATCCAATGCCTCTGTATTTAGTTTCACACATTTGTGAGACACTTGTTATTATGATGAGAACTGAGTTCAGTTCTTCTGGCACAGCAGTACATTCTCTTAGAGTTCCACAAAATTCTCAGATAATTAAAAAATTAATTAAATAAAAAATGAATGAAAACATTGTTCTTTAAAATATCGGAAGCCTGGTATTACTGTCTGCAATTGTCCAGTGATTCAGAGGAATTACAATATGGTTTACTACACTTAATATCATGGTTATCACGAATTATATATAGGGTACTATTAATCAACACAACACTCTGTTTTTACATGCTGTCTTAAAAGCTCTTGTGTTATAGTTTCCATGTTGTTTATCAGTATCTAATTCACGTTGGACTACGTATGCAGACTCTGGTTCTCATATAAATGGAAATTAGAGAAGAAAGAAGATGTTGCTGTTCCCAAATGGAGCAGAATAAAGTTGTAGGGGTGCGTTAGTGCTAAGTTTTTACATAGGTTTTTATTTTCAGTGATAAACTACAGCTTCTTAGGAACATGATTTGGAGTTTGCTGTTGTTACTTCCAGGAAAGGCAGGACTGTATTTCTGTATCATAAATAAGACTGTATTTATGATAATTTTTATTTTTGTAATTCTCAAACATCATTCATCTATTATTTCACCTACCTACTTACCCCATATAATTCAAATCACTTTTAAATTCATTAAATCTTTTGATACCTTTATATAAATGGAAACCTATGAATATATACACACTCATAGAAACCTCTTATTTCATTTGAAGTGATTTTATTTCAACATGCTTGAGCCACATAATTTGACATAGAAAATGGATCAGAGGTACGGTCCCAGTGGAAGGCACAGTCTCCATACTGCATGGGGAGAGCATTCACAAAAGTAGCAAATACCTCAGGAAGCATTGAATCCATGGGGTCTTGGATTTTTAAAACACTCAGTAAAACTGTGGTTAATGAATTTAGCATCTGGGAACTCATCCATATAAGTAATTTCTTCATAGCCAGCAGAATGCACTAAAAAATATCTGTGCTTCCTGCTGTCATGTCACATGATTGCATCAATGCACCTAACAGACAAATCAAATCTTTGCCATGTTTCCCATAGAGACAAAGAGGATTATGAAATGGAAGCATTTGTGTGCAGCAAGGTCTTTCAAGGACAGCCTCAACACCAAAATGTATACATTGTAATGTTTCTACTGTACGTGTAATGAAATGTTCTGTCAATAAAAATACTCATGGTTAACTAACGATACAGTTCTCTCTCCCTCAGATGTCGATCAGTGTGTGAAGTGCCCAGAGGACCAGTTTGCCAACAGAGAGCAGAACCAGTGCATTTACAAAGAGGTGACATTTCTCAGCTATGAAGACCCTTTGGGGATGGCTCTTGCCTTAATGTCCTTGTTATTCTCTGCATTCACAGCTCTGGTTCTTGGAGTCTTTGTCAAGCACCATGACACTCCCATTGTGAAGGCCAATAACCGGAAGCTCAGTTACATCCTGCTCATCTCACTCTTCTTTTGTTCCCTCTGCCCCTTGCTCTTCATTGGCCGTCCAAACTCAGCTACATGCATCTTGCAGCAAATCACATTTGGAGTTGTGTTCACTGTGGCTGTTTCCACTGTGTTGGCCAAAACAGTTACTGTGCTTCTGGCCTTCAAAGTCACAGCCCCTGGAAGAAGAATGAGATACTTCCTAATTTCAGGGGCATCTAACTACATCATTGCCATCTGTACTCTCATCCAAGTTATCATCTGTTCAGTCTGGCTGGGAGCTTCTCCTCCCTCTATTAACATTGATGCACACTCTGAGCATGGCCACATCATCATTGTGTGCAGCAAAGGTTCAGTCACTGCCTTCTACTTTGTCCTGGGATACCTGGCCTGCTTGGCTCAGGGGAGCTTCATTTTGGCTTTCTTGTCCAGGAATCTGCCTAACACATTCAATGAATCCAAGTACTTGACGTTCAGCATGCTGTTGTTCTGCTGTGTCTGGGTCACTTTCCTCCCTGTGTACCATAGTACCCAGGGTAAGGTCATGGTAGCTGTGGAAATTTTCTCCATCTTGGCCTCCGGTGCTGGGATGCTGGGATGCATCTTTGTTCCCAAGTGCTACATAATTTTGTTCACATCAGCAAGAAAAATCTCTACAAACCATCAGTGCAAAACCATCTTCCGGAACTGATACTTCATTAATTTTAACTGACAAATTTATATTTAACTCATATCCACCAAATATTGAGTAGCAAAGCAAGACCTATGTCTTTTAGACGTGCCTCTTTTATACTAACTCTCACAGTTACCTGTTATGTTTTCTGTTGCTTATCAGTATCCTGTTGACTATTGTTCTATCAGTTACTGATTTTGTAAGACTAGTCATAGTTCAGAAGTGCAGAGTGTAATTATTCTTTTCTTCTCTAAAATAAAAAAATAATCCAAAATACAATGCAATTTTCTTGTTTAAAATCAGAGTGAATGAATGATTCCAGTGGCATTTGAATGCTGAGATAAAAAATAGAAGATATTTTTGACCCAGGGAATTGTTGTTTGTAGACAGGGTTAAAATAATATTCTCCCTTATGGGGGAAAGGGAAACGGTTCCTGAAGCATACTAGGCATAAGAATTGTATAACATAGAAGATGATAGAGAACCTTTTGTCCTGCTGGTCCCCTGCTTGATGTGAGCAATGGGACAGATCACGTGTGCATGACCCTCCACCTCCATGGAAGTTTGTGGGTCTGCTCTGAGCACAGTGAACCTGTCTATCCACTTGGGACCACTTTGAGGCTGCACTAACCTTATTTTTGGATCCCATCGCTGGTCCTCTGCTGGAGGTGAGTCTGGGACCAGTTCTTGCCTAACCCCTCCCTCCAACTCCTATCATTCCCTGGGAATTTCGTGGGTTAGTTCCACATCTCGCTCTAGCCTAAACCTTTCCCTGGATAGTACAATCTTGGTACTCAGCTCCATACACCACCCAGAGCTTCTCTTCTCCTCACCCTTTGTCTTGCTGGCCCCACTGCTTCAAGTGAGCATTCAGCCAGAGTGTGGGTCAAACAACATCCATGATACTTCCTGGGTCTGCTCTGAGCACACTGGACCCACACCTATCCACAAGGGACCACCTTGAGGCCAAACTCCCCTGATCTTTGGACCCCATCACCTGCCTCTGCAGGATGTGAGTCTGGGACCAGTTCAGGCTGAATACCACCCACATCCTTCCCTGGGAACTTCCTGGGTTAGCTCCACATCTCACTCCCTCCTATACCCTTGGTATGGATAGTACAGTCCTGGTACTGTGCTCTATAAACCACCCAGAGCCTGCCTTTCCTTCACCTGTTCTCCTGCTTGACCCATTGCTTGAAGTGAGCATTGGAACACGGTGGGCATCCAACTCCACCTCCATTCCTGGGTCTGCTCTGAGCACATTGGAACAGACTATCCACCTGGGACCACCTTGAGGTTTCACTCAGCTGATGTTCAGACACCATCCACTGCCCCTGCCTGAGCAGAGGCCTCCAAGAAACCTCAGATCTTCCAGAGCTATAGAAATGGTGCTTCTGAAACAACAACACCAACTGGGAGAGCTGGATAGAGAGAGACTCCACCTGCACCCACTGGTAAAAGCAATGGGAAGAATGCAATACAAGAAAACACCCAATAATAGAAAGACAAGCATGTCACCACCAGAATCTAGGGACTCTACACCAACTAGACCTGAACACACCAAAGCAGATGAAGCAGAAGACAGTGCCTTAAAATATAACATCATAAAACCAACAGAGGCCCTCAAAGATGATATGAGAAAATCCCTTAAAAAATGGAAGAAAAAAGCAAACAAAAATTCGTAGAAATAAAGGGGAAAAAAACAAAGAAAAAAGGCAATAAAGGAACAACTGTGTTAAAGAAAGAAAGGAAAGCCAAGAAAAAAAAAACAATAAAACAAGTGAAGGAAACAATTCAAAGATTTCAAGACCTGGAAACTGAAATAGAGACAATAAAGAAAACACAAACTGGTGGAATGCAGAAAAGAGAAAAACAGGGTAAATAATTGGGAACTACAGTTGCAAGCATAACCAACAGAATAAAAGATATCAAAGAGAGAATCTCAGGTGCTGAAGATAAACAAGAGGAAATAGATTCATTGACCAAAGGAAATCTTATATTCAACAAATCCTTAACACAAAACATCCAGGAAATATGGGACACCATGAAAAGGCCAAACCTAAGACTAATAGGCATAGAAGAAGGCAAAGAAGCCCAGCTCAATGGTGCAGAAAACATATTCAACAAAATCATTGAAGAAAACTTTTCCAGTCGGGAAAAGGATTTCTATTTTTGTTTCCACAGAAAATGAAAATATGTGGATTCCTTCCAGACTAATGTGGTTTGATCAAGCCAGACTGCCTGAAACAGAGTCCCAGGTGATCCTATATTCAAAACAGCTGGACAAAGCAGCCTTACAGACTACAGCCAGGATTTCTGAATCTTCTTAGAATCCCCCATGACAGCGCCCCTTACCAGCAGGAAGCAGTTTGGAAAGAACGACGCCCAAATTCCCAAAGATTGTCTATAAATGTTTGTTTTCATTTAAATGGACTTGGTTATATAAAATAAATAAATTAAAAAAAGAAAAAAAAAAAAGAAAGAAAACTTTCCCAATCAGAAGAAGGGCATGCCTATGAAAGTACAAGTATAAAAAACACTAAATTTACTGGACAAAAATGTCCCCCAGCCACATAATAATCAAAACACCTAACATACAGAATAAAGAAAGAATATTAATGGCAGCAAAGAAAAAAGCCAGGTAATATATAAAGGCAGAGCCATCAAAATTATACCTGACTTCTCTATAGAAACTCTCAAGGCCAGATGGTCCACAGATGCCAGCCCAGGATACTATACCTAGCAAAACTCTCAATCACAACAGAAATAGAGAAAATAAGATATTCTTTGATAAAGCTGGATCTTCACAATACATATTCACAAATCCAGCCCAACAGAAAGTTCTCAAAGGAAAACTCCAACCCAAGGAAGTTAACTACACTCACAAAGATATAGGCAATAGATTACGGCACTTTACCAGAGCCCAAAAGAAAAAGCAGGGCAAATATATGCACAACACCACTGCCAACAACAAATCTAAAACAAAAGAGATTTAACATTCAATGGGTCTTACTTTCCACCAACATTTTTGTTCTTAACTCACCTATAAAAAGATATGAAGACAGAATACATCCTTCTGCTGCATACAAGAAAAACATATCAGACATTACCTCAGGGTAAAGGGTTGGGAAAAGATCTCCCAATCAAAAGGACCCGAGAAGCAAGCAGGTGTAGCATTACTAATATCTAACAAGTAAGACTTCAAACCAAAATCAATCAAAAGAGATGAAGAAGGTAATTTCATATTCATCACAGGAGAAATCTGTCAGTACAAAGTGGCAATTCTGAACATCTATGCCCCAAATACAAAGGTACACATATTTGTAAATAAAAAAAAAGCCTCACACATTCATAGTAGGAGACTTCAACACCACACTGTCAACACTAGACACTTAAAAAACTTAAAAAAGAAATAAAAGAAGTAACAGAACTTATGTCCCAATTGGGTTTAACAGACATCTATAGAACATTCCATCCAAACACAAAAGAACATATCTTCTTCTCAGCCCTATGTGAAACTTTCTTTATTTTTTTTCCTTTCGAATTTTTTTATTTTATTTAATTTTATATAACAAAGTCCAATTAAATGAAAACAAACATTTATACACAATATTTGGGAATTTGGGCGTCGTTCTTTCCAAGCTACTTCCTGCTGGTAAGGGGCGCTGTCTTGGGGGGATTCGAAGAAGATTCAGATATCCTGGCTGTAGTCTGTAGGGCTGTTTTGTCCAGCTGTTTTGAATGTAGGATTAGCTTGTACTCTGTTTCAGGCGGCTTTGCTTTCTGAATCCTCAGGCAAGCTTTAATAAACCAAAAATAATATATCACCACACACCCCTGCCACTTCAGTCCTTATTGTGTACTGTTTGTTGTACCCAATAATTCAAGATAATCGGGTGAGTCTGCATAATCTTGTGAAACTTTCTTTAAAATGGACCACATACTAAGCAACATAAAAACCCTCAACAGATACAAAAAACAAACAACAGTAACAACAGCAAAAACAAAAACAAACAAACAACAAACAAAAAGGGAATACTCCCTCTATCTTATCAGACCAACATTCTTTAAAGTAGGAATTCAACAACAGCATAAATTGTAGAAACCCTAAAAACTCATGGAAACTTATCAATGTGCAATTTCACCATTCTTGGGTAAAGGAAGAAATAAAGAATGAAATTACAGATTTCCTAGAATACAACGAGAATGAAGACACATCATGCCTGCACTTATGGGACACTTTGAAAGCAGTACTATAAGGAAAGTTCATTGCACTAAGTGCCCATAGGAATGCAACAGAGGATAGTCACATTGGAGAATTAATAGCATAACTAAAAGCCTTAGAACAAGAGGAAGCAAACTCACTCTAGAGTAGTAGATGCCAGGAAATAATCAATTTGAGTGCTGAAATCAATAAAGTAGAAACTAGGAAAACAATGCAAAGAATCAATGTAACAAAGAGTGAGTTTTTCAAGAAAATCAACAATACAGAAAAAAACTTTACCCAAGCTAACCAAAAAGCAAAGAGAGAACATGCAAATCAACAAAATCAGAAATGAATAGGGGAACACAACAATGAACACTGAGGGAATACAGAGAATTTCCAGGTCACATTTTGAAAACCTGTCCTCTACAAAATTCAAAAAAATCAAAGAAAATGAACAAATTTTTGGATAGCTATCACTTACCAAAATTAAATCTAGAGCAGATAAGCAATGTAAATAGACCTATAACCCTTAATGAAATACAAGGAGTCATCGAAAAAAAAAAAAAAAAAAAAAAAAACAACCAACCAACAAGACCAAACAACAGTCCACATACTGGGAAAAGATCATCTCCAACCCCACATCTGACAGGGACTGATCTCCAAAATATATACAAAGAACTCAAGAAACTTGTCACTTAAACACCAAATAAGAATAACAAAATGTGTGGTACAGAACTGAATAGAGAATTC